AAAGGGGGGGGGGGGGGGGGGGGGGGGGGGGGCGTCTCACGGGGTTCCGTCTCCTCCTCGTTAACTAACTCGGTACACGGCGGTGCAAGAGCAGGCAGGAATGGAAACGTCCACGATGGGTGCAAGTACCCTTCCAGGTCCATCTTCGCGCGGTTAGTGCTCGTGAAACGTATGCGTATGGCCCAAGGAAAAAGCACAACAAAAACCAGGTCATCAACTTTAGAATTCCACCACATGGACGACTACGAATGGGCTTCTTGCAATGTACCCCCGCATTTTCGTTAAACCGCCTGTGTGTGGGGGGGGGCGGGAGTTACGCTGTTCTCGGCAGTCTATAACCAAGACGAATTGGGAAGGGTTTTTCACAACTTGACGCCGCTGGCTTGGCAGCTGTCGAGGCCGTGACACCACTCACCGAGCAACGACAATGTCGGAATAGTGCCGCAGAACACTCCTACGCCCCTTTGCATGCTCTAGAGTCATGCTCTAGAGTTTCGCATCGCGTAGGAGAGCTCTGGGTACTGCTGCGTTTTCGTCAGTGCTCATTTCGCGGCGAGATTGGGGAATCCGTGCATGATTTCAAGCTACGCCACAGGCCCGCCGCAGTCCGGTGGCGCATGAGCTCACACACACACTTCGCACCCCAGGAGAGTCACATAAAGAGTCAAAGGAACGTCGTTTATCGCTGGGACCATGGTCCTTCACTCGCGAGCCGGCGGCGCTGCAGGGGCGGGAGCCGATGGGTTAACTCCTTGCCATATCTTGGGCATTGTATCAACCTACGCCTTAGCGGTGGCCAACACAGCTGCCAAGCGTGTGGCGTGCTGGTCCACAACCTGTGCTTGCAGCATCTCCTCGGCACGGACGATCGGACTGACGGAGGAGCTATGTAGCTGTGGTGGCCTCTCGTGCATACAGATCGTCACCAAGGAGGACAGGAAAGGAAAGCACGACGAACCTGGAATACCTCCACTCTACGCCGAGCTCCCCCCGAGCTCACTCGCACCGCCCGTCAACGCATAGCTCGGGGGGGGCTCTGCGTCGAGC